TATGACTGACTTTAACAATTCCACTAACTCTGCAGAGCAAGGATTTATATATTTGTGAAATAAGTCGATAAGGAAAACTCTAGGACATGAATAGAAAATTAGGCAAAAGGCACAAAGAGACTATTGCTCCAGAGCCAAAAAGATGAAAAGTTTAAATAGGTAAGGAAAAGTATTTAAACTAACTAGTAATTTTGAAATTCAAATTGGACATCTTTGACTTATCAAGTTAGCAGAGAATTTAAAATGTGAATGCAAAGAGCCGATGGTAAGACAGGCATTCTCAAGCATTGATCTGGGTAGATAAATTGTTACAACCTTTTTGAAAAGCATGCAGTTAGATGATATGAAGCAAATATTATTTGATCCAGCAACTAGATGTTGGGAGATAGAAACTAAAAACATAATCTGTTACATTAAAATAAGGTTTCTGCTCAAGATGTTGATCACAGTATTATTTGTAATAATCAAATGTTAGGAACACAGTTGAAATATGGTTATCAAGGTGATATTCACCAAGAATGAACGAGAAAATGTTTACAAGATAATGATAAGTGAAAGCGTAAGAAATAAAATGGTATGTGTATGCACAAATATATTTATTAAGCAAAAGAAATATTACACAGATAAAAACATGATTTTTTTCTGTTCATCCTGGGGTAAATTTTTCTTCCTTCCACATTTGTGTATTTTCCAAATATTCTACAATGACAGCATATAGTATTAGCTTCTTAAATAAAAAAAGGTTTTTCAAAATTTCTTTCATGGTTTTCAATGCCATGCTCTGTCCCAGTTCTTTTTCTAACTAAGAGATTAGAGATCAAGGTTCTGGTTCCCCTTTTCTCCAGGTTAGTCAAGTGCGAGTACACGTGGTTGATGTGGAAACCCCCCTTGGCTGGAGCAGGTCTTCACTGGTCTGGGCACATCCGGGATGATTCCTCTCCAGACAGATTCTTCAACTACCTGTTCTGGGAGTGGCTCATCCCCACTGCAAAGCTCACCTCCTCTTCCTGGCCCAGTAAGCATTCGGGGGAGAGAGAAACAGAGCTAGCAGCCCTCTGGCTAGAAGGATCTGGGCATCTTTGAGGAAGGAAGAGCTCAGGTGGTTAGGGCACTGAAGTGGATTGGGATCAAGGAGACCAAGGAGGCAGGAGGTCTAAGATCTCATGTGACCTCTAAGATCCTGGCAGGAGTTTGGATTCTATCCCAAAAGCAATTAGCAACCTCTGAAGGGCATTAGCCAGCAAGTCACATGATCTGGGGTCAGTGGGCAACAGCTCACTCTCTGTCTGCAGAGATGGCCCTACAGAGGGTCCAGAGTTGACGTCCCAGAGATCAACAGGATTATGTCACATCCCTTTCAGAGTTGGGACATAGAGAATGGGGAAATGCTAACAGAATTTGAAGGTAGAGAAAGCTGTGGTCCCACACATGCTTAGACCTAGCTGGAGCTGACCTCCCAGACAAGCCAGGAAGAAAGGCCCGGGGGACCCAGTGTGGGGAGGGGCTGGGAACCCAGGGGAACGACAACCCCTACAGACCGCTGGGCCACCCGCCAGTGGAATGCTGGTAAAAGAGCTGGGTAAGAAGCAATTGGGATCTTGCTCAGAGAACCAGATACACCTGGTTTGGGGGCTCTAAGGGAGAGAGTCCAGCCTGAGGGCTGGCCACCTGTTCTGTCTCCCACCCCCACTTTAAGGGCCTCATCTGCCCAGGAGACTGGAAGGCTGGCCTGAGGAGGGGTGACTAAGAGATCTGGAGTGGAAGGGAAGTTGGGAAGCAAGGGGCTCCGGTGGTAACTGGCACCACGACCCCTTCCTACAGCCTCATGGAGGCAGGGGTCATCCGTGGACTTGGAGCATCTGACAAGAGTGGTTCCCAGGTATCGGGGTGGGACTTAACCCAGACTGACCACACTTGTGGGGGCGTAGCCTGCCCAGGAGGGGCGCCTGGACATCCCTGCTCCTCGCCTTCCTCCAGCCACCTTCCCTAATGGACGAGGTGTCAGTGATTACAGAATATAATATTTACTGGAACACAGATGACCAAACAATATACATGTTTCAAAGGTGATAAATATTTTTAAACATATGTTCCATTTATTGGAAATACACTCTAATCAGGTGAATGGGCACAGAGTTTAAGGGGATTGTTGAATGGTCCCTTATTGGGTGCCTGGTGCAATTCCCCAAGTAAATTTCAGGCAAGTGAAAGTGGCAAGAGGGCGGTGCAGGGCCAGGGAGAAGGGGCCCAGGGTCAGGGGCCCTAGACACACTTTCTTGGCCTGATTGATTTGGACATAAGTGTGAGGACTCTGAGGATCTGGAAATTGATTCCCTGAAAACTCCTCAGGCCAAAGCCTTTTCCTGCCCATCTTGGTGACTGTTGGTTTAACACAGTCCCCATTCTACACTCTATTCGAGACTCCGATGGTGTTGGGAGTGGAGCTTGGGGTCCAGACACCAACCCTGCAAAAGGGGCATGGGATTCTTCTCACAGGACTGAGGTCTGTGTTTTCAATGAAGTCTTAGGTCCTGGGCCAAGCTTGGAATCCAGCGGAAAGCCCCACTGTTAAAGTAGGATATCCAACAGTTTAAAGAGGGCGGTCCCCCAGGCCAAGATCCACCCCTTCAGCAACAACCCCCTAAGTCTTTCTGCAACTCCCGCTCTCTCTAGAGAACCAACTCTATGTACTGCAGAGTGTTTGTAAGATTATTGGACAGGAAGTCTAGCACCTCCCAGTTCTAATTGCCCCAGCAAGGTCACAGAGCCGTCCCTGATAACAAGCAGTAATTAGAGCGACAAAAGTAGCATTTTACGGGGTTGTTCCAAGATGCGCTTTCTGCAGTGGTGTAAAGGGGGAGAAAATGGAAACTAACCCCGTAAAGAAGGTTAATAGCATCCACACATTTAAATTACCTACATCAGCCTTGTCACAGACAATCAGGAGTTGGAGGTCCTGTGCATTCATATTTCATCTCTAGGAGCTTTTCCATATGCCTGAAGGTGCTCTATCGCTGAGTTACCACTCAGGAGCAGAAACATTCAAACTTCGTTTGTCAATTCATTTTAAAGCAATGATGAACCCATTTCATATTAAAATAAAAACATATTTTTTATGAAATACATCTACTTTTTTTAAATTACTGAGACGAACAGTAGTATTTTGGGTTTTTGCAAAAATCTGTAATACCTGACATAGTAAGACAGCTGGTTTCTCACGTCTGCTTCTGCATTCAGGAAACTCCACCCTCCTGAAAAAACAAGGGTAAAAAAGACAAAGAAGTCTGGTGTTATTATAAACATGGTTTTGACCTCATGGACCCCCTGCAAGGATCTCAGACATCCTCAGGGGTCCCCAGTCCCTGCTGTGAAAAAGGCAGCTCCTGACCAAGGAAAGCCAAGCTCCATGGGTTGTAGAGTGAGCTGGGGGTGGGGGAGGGTGATGTGCAGGATGGGCATCAGCATGTTCTGGCTCTATTCAATTCACACCACGTTTGTCCACAGGAGCCCCCTCACCACCACCACCACCCCCCTGCACCGGTTAGGTGACTCTAGAAAGGAATCCTGTGATTATTTTAGAAGTCATCCATTTTGTATTGCACAAGCTTTTTTAATTGGAGTTCTTTTTTCTAATGGGAAAACGCTGTAAACCTAAATGCATAGCAATAGTAGTGATTAAGGAAATTATGGTTTCTGAAGGCAAATACTCTGCAGCCATCAAAAAGAAAGTAAAAGGGGAAGATGTACTCAATATTAATATCCACAGAATTAATTAAGCAGAGAACAGGAAGTATAGAACAATGGGCATATTATGATCTTTTTACTGTGTTTTTGAAGGGGACTAATAACATGTATAACTGGGAAAAGACACAAGAAATTGCTCATAATAATTGGTTGTCTTTGAGAAGATATGGGAAGTTTTTAAAATTTTTAAACCTGCCAGCAATGAGTAACATATTGTGTGCAGTTGTGTTTGTCCTTAAAGAAAAGGAGGCAAGAGAGGTTTCCTGGCAGTAAGACCATGTTCCATTTCCGCCTTTTCCACTCTGTTCCTGGTGAGAACCCTCTGTCTTCTGCAGGTGCACCGGGCGCCCGCCGGCCCGCACTCCCGGCCCCGCGGAGCCCGCGCCCTCCCCTCTGGCCCCGCCCCCGCCCCACCCTCGCCCCTGCCCATTGGGCTGCCGTCGCGCCGCCGCGTCCAATCGCAGCGCTTAGCGCCAAATTCGAATCGTTGTTTTCATTTGAATCGGGAGGGCGCGGCGGCGGCTTTACGCGCGGAGCACTAACGCTGGGCGCCTCCCGGACGCAGCCGGGCTGGACTACCTGGTCGCCGGCGAGGGCGACGGCGGGGGGAGTGAGGACTGCGGCGGAGGTGGCCGCGGGCAGTCCCCGTCCCTGGAGCGAGGGGCGGGCGGTGGACGCGAGTGGGCGAGTCTCTGGCTTTTCCCGGTGAGGACTTGGGTTGCATCTGGCAGAGCGGTGGACCCACTGGTGGCGGTGCGGGCAACTGGTCCTGGGTGAGTCACTGTCGGGGGACCTCGGGGGGCGGGGGCGGCCGGTGTGCCTGGGGGCCCAGGCCTTAGGGACCCCTCTGCTTTGCCGGAACCAGCGCCTGCAGCGCGGCCGGGGCTCTGGCGAAGGGGTCTCGGTGGGAACTCCCGGGAGCCTAGACCTTGATGGACTGCGTCCTGGCCGCGGGTCTTTGGGGGCACTGGGTATTGGGGGCTCTCTGGGGTGCAGGCCGGGACCTGGCTGGGGCTCCCCAGGGGTCAAGTAAGGTGTGGGTCAGGGTGGCAGGAGCATGGCGAATTGTACATGTGAGCCCATTTGGTCACTTACAAGTGACTTCCAATCTCTTTGCTTTTAGAACACCCCCCCCCAACCTCGTGTGTTTTGTTATTGTTTTATTCAGTGGCATGTTCCTGCAGTAAGTTTGCTTCAGCAAACCTTCTGATGACTGACCTTCCTATAAGGATTATACTCAACATCTTGCTTAGAAAATGGGTCCTACAGGACGCCTTGTTACCATCAAAAGAAGTGGGGTGGACGGCCCCCACTTTCCACTGAGCCTCAGCACCTGCTTGTTTGGAAGGTGAGCCCTGCACAGGGGTGGACAATTTAGTTTAAAAGACATTATAACAGACTGGAAACACCCTAGGAGTGGTTCCTGCCCCCAGATTTGCAGGGGACTTTCCTACCTATTGTCAATGTAACATAGTTGTTTATTAGGAAATAGATTTTTGAAAACAATGTTTATACAGTTTAGTATTTTTTTAATCAAACACATTTTAAAATTGACTTGATAAAATCTTTAAATTGAGAAAAATTTAGATTATTCTCAAAACCTGATTCACTTCAGGCATTCTTTAGATGACCAGTATGTTCATCTGAAATCCCTCCAAACTTGGCTTGCCTTGGCTGTGGGGGGACACTACTGAGCAAATGAGGGGAGGAAGCTCTGTATTTGGCTTGTTGGTTTTTTGGAAAAATGAAAAGAGGAGAAGTCCTGCCAGTGTTTTGAGAACTTCCTTCTTTTTGCCGGCTTGTGTTGGTGGTAAATAACTATGGTCCCAGTATAACAGGCACACTCTGCTCCGGGTGTGTAACATGGGATTTCTTAGAAAGTGGTAAGTCACCCTCTCTGTGGAGCCCCCTGAGGTGGGACCCCCGAGCGCCTTCTACCCATGTACCCCCTCCTGTCCTACCCACCCCATCCTTACCATGTTCTACCTCACCTCAGACTTTCCGAGCTCTTGCTCATCTTGGTGCTTTTGGCCAGCTTAAACTTTTATGACTGGAATGTTCTATCTTCCCATGTGAGTGCTTCCTTTCCAACTTTCAGATATCCGTTTAAGTGTTACCTAAAAAGAACCCTTAGGTGAACACTCCTCTGGACCTTCCTAACACCATGCAGGGTGATGAGTCCTTGGTTGTGTCTCGCACTACTAAACTGTGTAAGGACAGGGACTGTCTGCTTCATAATGATGTACGCAGTGCCTGGTAGGGGTCTGGCGAGGGAGAGGTGATCAATAGCTGGCACTCTGTGTCTAGCAGATGCATGGGTTGAACGTGGAGTCATAAATAGCAGTGGTTCTCAGCCATGGGTTCTTTTGCCCTGCAGGAGACATCTGGCAAGGTCTGGAGACATTTTTCTATGTCACAGTGTGGGAGGCTCAAACCAGCGGCATCAAATGAAAGGTCAGGGATGCTGCTAAGGAGCCTACAATGTACAGAACAGCTCCTACTGTAAAGAATGTCAACGGTGCTGAGGTTAAGAACCACTGATCCGTAGGGATTCTAGTTAGCAGTTTGCAGCCACACAAATTCTCAGATCTAATGAGATAGTCTCTTTCTCCCTCCCTCTCTCTCTCTCTCTCTGGAATTGTCTGTTATCTAAAAATCAAATTCTCTTCTTTAGTTTAAAGTAGCTGTTCACTTCCCATACCTTCCTTTCTCTTCAAAGGAAAAAGAATAAACATTTTGGTGTTAAATGTCAGTAATTCTCGTTATTCTACAGCAGTGATGAAATATCTTTTTATGTGGGATTTTATCATTTTGAACCCATTCAGAAGTGTTTGGTCATATGACATATGTAGGAAGAGATATTCTTTTTTTTTTTTTAATGGTTTTATTTGAGAAAAGTCCTTACAAAAGGGCAGCTGCAGAATACAGAGACCTCTGCAACAATTACTTGTTTTTTCTTAAAGTGAAAGAATGGGTGGCACCCCAGGGGTCAGAGGGACCCCCGGACAAATGAGCAGCATCTCCAAGTTAATCCTAGGAGCTAGAGCAACAAAACTCAAAGCTACTGAGGTACTGCTTTGTCCTTTACAACCTATTTGCCACACCAGGCCGAAACCACTAAACCCATTTTTCCACCGTACAACTATGCAGGGACCAGAAACTGAGCACACACTGACACTCACAGTCCAAGTCCATCAGCCCTGGGGAGTCCACTTCCAGCTCTGCAATTATTTTATACCACTGTATCTTTTATAGGCGTTCTAGAAAGAGATAGTCCCAGCTCCAGAATAGTGTATTGAGAACAGAAAGGAGAGTATACAACTGTTCAAACTTACAGTAAAGGGAACCTCAGAGACCCAAGGAAACTTAGTAAGGACCATTTGGATTAGTCTGCACGTGGGTTTGGAAATTCTCCCTAATGGTGCTTCCTGCTGATGTTCTTTGTGTAGAAAGTGAAGTTGAATCTAATAATGCTTATTTGTTGCTCGCATTTGTATTTTTAATAATAGACTTGTGAATCCGTCCATTAATACAGTGCAGTTTTAAAACAATGTAAAGCTCATGAGTAAATAACACTGACTATGTGCCAGGCAAATGGCAGAAATGTATAATTCATTCATTGTTTGAACAACCCCGTGATATAGGTGCTGGTGTGATTGTCTTTTTATATGTGAAGAGACAGGTGTTAGTATAAAATACAGCACATGTAGTGATGATGAAACCTTGAAACATACATAACATTGCAAACAAACACACATAAACCTTTCTTTCTAGAAAAAAGGCACAGAGTATCAGAAACTGTTACAGTTCTCCAAACTGATAGGAAGTATTCCCTTATTTGGGTCTTAAAAGCATAGGTATTTCAGTAAAGACAATCCAGTTTTGTATTCTAATATTTTCCTTTATAGCTGTTTTCAAGTACCCAAAGTCTTAAAGATTTAAAATAGTCGCTTATACAATACTTGTCAAAATCGTTTGCCAAATGCACGGGTCATCACATCGCCCAACTGATGATCACTTTCTGTTGTTTCATTTATGGATCAGGCATTTGGGCAAATGCTGTTTTATTTTGAAGCATTCATGGAATTTCTAGAAAAAACTGTGGCAGCCTAAAACTCTTAATTTCTTTCATCGAAGGGGTATCGAATGTGACATTCGGATCCAGCTCCCTGTCGTGTCAAAACAGCATTGCAAAATTGAGATCAGTGGGCAGGAGGTAAGTGGGTGTTTGAAATCTGTTGTGTTTTGTTTTGTTTTGTTTTATTTTTTAACTTTTCATTTCACTTTTTACCCATTCATCAATTACCTATTTTCCCCTTTCTTCTACTTTGTAGGCAGTATTGTTTAATTTCAGCTCCACCAATCCGACACAAGTGAACGGATCCGTTATCACGGAGCCTGTACGGCTAACGCATGGAGATGTGATCACTGTTGTCGATCGTTCCTTCAGGTGGGTGAAAAGTAAGAACTAGTCATTCTCCACACTCATGCACCAAAACTAGCCTGGCAGACGTCTGTGACTTTTCTGTGCTGCGGATGACATCAGAGCATTTGAGGCGGGTGCTCTCACCCCGGGTTCTCAATCTGAGGTCACGAGGGTGTAGCAGGGATGACACGTGGGGCTTGTGTGACTACATTCAAGGATCCGAGTGCATGGAGCTGGGCCAAAGAAGGGTGACCAGAGCCTCACGGGGTCTTATTTTTGTTGTGAGTGTGGTGAAGCCGCATGCATTTTTCAGTTTCTGTTTCATTTTAAAGTAAAAGACGCTCCTGGGGAAAAGGCACAAGACAAGATGTCCAGCTCAGCTTATCTTGACGTGAGCACCTGGGTGATCGTCATTTGTTATGGACTGAATTGTGTCCCTTCTAAAATTCATATAGTGAAGCTTTAAGCCCCGGAAAGCCAGAACATGACTGTATTTGGAGACAGGGTCTTTAAAAAGGTGATTGAATTAAAACGGGGCCATTAGGGTGGGTCCTGATCAATCTGACTGGTGTCCTTGTAAGAAGAGGAGATAAAGACACAGAAGAAAAGGAGCAGGTGCTCAGAGGGATGGCCACGTGAAGGCAGCAGAGGCGGCCCTGGCCAGCCCAGGACGGAGGCCTCAGGAGAAAACTGTCCCGCCAACACCTTGATCTCGGACTTCCAGCCTCCACAACTGTGAGACAATACATTTCTGTGTTGAAGCCACCTGTGCGTGGCATTTTGGATGGCCGCCCTAGCAAACTAATACACCACCCAAGCTGTTAACAGAATATTTCCAGAACCTTCTGAATAGTTCTTCTAATCACTGCTTCTTTCCCTCACCAAGTAAACCACCCGAGTGGCTTTTCTGATGACATAAAATCTTTGGAGTTTTGCTACCTAAGCATGCATCTCTAACCGCTCTGGTTTTGTCTGTCTTTATTAACAAACTCCATAAATTTGAAACAATGAAGTATGTGCTTGTAGCTGAGTCCTGCTCCCATGCTTGTGAGAGCCAGAGCATGGATGTCCCATTTTGTTCTTTCTCACTGCTAAATATTTCATTTAAATAATATCCCAGTTATATACCCAATTATACACAATTTACTCATTCTGGACGGACGTTTGGGAAATTTCCAGGTTTTGAAGTGAGTCGAGGGCTTGCTTTATGACCAGATGTGGTTGATTTTTTTACTAATTTCTCCTGTGTGTTCCAAAAGAATGTGTGTTCTACGGCTCCCGGCATTGGGGTGGAGGGGGGTGGGGAGCGTTCTGTCCACGACCATCCGTTAGATTCAAATCCCTGGCTCTAGAATCACAGTAACTTAGCCCTTGATTCTTACTCAGCTGCGTGGGTTGAAATCACATTGAGGATTTTTTTTTTCTTTCTGTTTTGTTAGCTCTTCTGTTTCTGCTGTCTCTCTGTTGAGGCTATACTATGTGTTGAAATTTAGAATTCTGCCCTGGCGGGTGAAGCTCTGTCGCTTATCTTTCTGAGATATTCTGTACCTTTCGTAATGCCTTTTTTTTTAATCAGTGATTGCATATTATCATATTTTCTGGCACATTGCTTTCAACTTTTCATAATCCTTAAGGCTCAGATTGTCTCTTGGAACCAGGTGTTAGGTGCCCTTTTCTTTACAATCGGTTTATCTTCTGGATAGATCAATCCTTTTATCATTATAAAATATGCTTGGTCTTCGTGTGCAATTTTTATCTTGAAATCTCTTTTGTCTGATGTTAGCGTACGCCCTCTCCAGCTCTCTCCTGGTTGCTGTGGCTTGTCGTGTCCTCTCCCATCCTGCCACGTTCATCCTGTAGGCGCCTTTGATCGTGCCTCGTGTCTCTTTTAGGCAGCTCACAGTAGGGTCACGTTGGTCATCCATGTTGTCCAATAAAACGCCAACCTCATTACTGCCTCCATTCGCATTAAACACATATTTCCTATGTGTTCGATTGGTCATCTTTTTCACTGGGCTTGTGAATTTGCCTTCCTTTTTAAAGGGTATGCTTATTGAATAGACTTCTAGGTAGGAAGCATTTGATGTGGAGTGGAGACCAGAACTTCTTCCCCCAAATGAGATGCCATTCAGATTGAGATTAATTGAGATAATTAAATACCTCCAACACAAGAACGGGGAAGGGGTTCTTAGGAAGAAGAACTTGACCGTGAACTCTGCGATCAGGAGAAATAAGTCCAGACACCCGGCTGTTTCGGATCAGGCCACCTCACGGAGGCCAAGTTCAGGATGCCCATAGCAGGTGGTTCTGTGAATTATGCCCAGGGTCTGGTAGAAGGACGGTGTTATGTTGTTAAATCTGTCTACATCTTCAAGAATGTGCCAGTCTTTGTTCGGATACAGATGGGGAAGGCAGGAAACAGAAGGTCACAGTGATCCTAAGTTACAGGTGGCTCTGTGGTGACCTTGCAGTAGGTAATATCACCAAGTCACTCAGGCCTCGGCTTCCCAGGTGAACTTCCAAGCCCTCAGATGATCTCCACGGATATAAACTGGTGGGAATCTGATCGGCTCTCATATGCAGGTTTTCACAGAGGTACTCAGATATTGTTGAAATCACACAGCTTATCAGCGTTCAGAAACTAATCTGGGTCCCCACCTCTGACAACAGTGTTGCCAAAGAAATTTGAGGCAACCTATCCAAGTTTTTAGTGTAAAGTCTTTTCTAACTCTACCTTTATTTCCATGAATAAGGTGAATCTCTTGAATAAAACTTGACGTTTGTTCCTTGCTCCTTGGACATTAATGAGATAAGGAGGCTTTCCCATCAGTTGCAGAGCTGGAATCTGAATGTGTGTCTGTCCTTCTGTGCACTTCAGGTATGAAAATGAAAGTCATCAGAATAGAAGCGAGTCAACGGAATTCACAGGACAAAAATGCAAACAGGTGATGGGGGGGTGGATTATCCAACTGTGGCCTCTGATTCTTCTGCATGATACTATGAAATCATTTATATGCACGTCGATGAATGACGTCTCACAAGGGAGGGTGACTTGACAGTAAGAGAGGGACAGGTACCTGAGATCTTAAACAAGTTGAATTTAGACATACTGAAATCACTTACAGCTATGCTTTTTTTTTTTTTTTCTTTTCACAATGAGAGGACTAAGTCAGTCTTACACTTTGGCCCGAAGGCTCCTGGAGTATCTCACGATCTGATCTTCTTCTAAACCTTTGGTTAGGACAGCTCATCACATAGATTTAAAATCTGGGAACTAGATCAGTGGCTTGTGTTGTCTCCCAGTTATTGTGTTCTTCCATCTTTATGCATCTGAAATGATCACATCAGAGCTGTGAGTCCCAGAGATGCTTCCTAACTTTGATGGAGAGATAACCCATGCCCCTGGGAGAGCATTACTGCACTGTGTCTTGTGAGAGAATCTTACTACTTGTGTCCATCCAAACAGTATGGCTTTATCGGAATGCAATTCTGGGCCCATCCTTAGAGATTCAGTAGGATGTGTCCTGAGAATTTCTCTCCTTTAGGAAGCTACCCAAGCTGGTCTCCTGTGACCAGGTTGTAATTCACTGGTTTAAAAAGTCATATTGTACCTATACCCGAAATTAGCTGGAAGCCCTTCAACTGAAGATCTCTGTTCCTGCTATGTGCTGCTTCCTCCTTAGAGGAATGACCTTAATGGTGACCTTGCCCCTCATTGGCTTCCCTCATGGGAAAGCTAGATTTTGAGGTTCTCTACCTACTTTGTTGGTAGGTATTAGGGAACCAAGCAAAAGGCTGGACTTTGGGTTACAAGTGGTTAGAAGACCTATAAACTGTTTGTTGTCTGGATTGTGATAAAGTCAGTATTGAAACTGAATACTGAGAACGTGTTATAGCACTTTGACAGTGTGTTTTATGCCTATGGAATATAATGGTACAAAAAATGGGCTTATATGCTTGCTTATATTTTGTACATTGTTTTTTTTTTTTTTAAAGATTTTATTTATTTGACAGAGAAAGACACAGCAAGAGAGGGAACACAAGCAGGGGGAGTGGGAGAGGGAGAAGCAGGCCTCCCACGGAGCAGGGAGTCCGATGCGGGGCTTGATCCCAGAACCCTGGGATCATGACCTGAGCTGAAGGCAGACGCTTAACAACTGAGCCACCCAGGCACCCCTGTACATAGTTTTAAATTTTAATTCATTTTTATTGTTTAGTCATAAGATCCTTGGCCAGCTTCCAGTTTTGGAAATTAGAAACTGATCCCTCACTTGGTGAGTTAGAGAAGCAACGTGTCGGATACCAAGAAATCTGAAACTGATTGAAGAGAGAAGTTAAATTATTTGCCTTCGGATATATTTGGTGATGTTTTTCCCCATAATAATTCAGATGAGATACTTTCCCTCCTTCGAAGCAACATTGAGATTTTATACCTTACATCACTGTTAGTCTGTGGTTGTTCCTCACCCCCTAAAAAATCTTCCTAAAGATTTTTTCCTTCCTAAAGATTTCCACAGATTGTGAAGGCAGCAGTTGGGGGCCAGGTAGGAGCACTGGATCTGACTGCTGCGCTTGGAGGGCACAATGCCTGTGATGTGCTGGTTTCACTTTCGCCTGAGCATCCGGGCTCGTGTGCACCTGCTGACCCAAGCACCCAGGCTGAGTGGGGCCCCAGCTCATCCACAGGTCCTGCAGCCTCTTTCTGATAAAACTAAGTATTAAGTCAATAATTCTGTGCCCAATAATTCACAGATGCTGAGAATAGGTGATGTTTAATTTTAGCTTTGGTTCTTTCATATGGTGATGAGAAAGAAGTTTGAGGAAGTTAGAAAAACTCAACTGAGGTTCCATTTAAACAGTTTTGAGCTTCAAGTTTGTTTCTTATTCTATCATTATACTTTCTAAAATCAGCTAAGAAATACTTGTACTATGAGCACTTGCCCCTGAGTGTCTTTGCCTCATTTCTCAAAGTCCCTAAAATTCCTATTAGAACAGTTTGGTAAGGAAGAGCATCCACAGCAAGAATATTTTCATAAATATGACTGTTGGTATTTGAACAAGCACCTAAATAGCTGTCTTTATTTTGCCGATTTACAGGAATCTCTGCATCGGGTCTCAAGATCTGGCTTCTCTTCCGACCCTGGTTAGTAATTTTTTGGTTTTATTCTGGGATCCTGCAAGATCAGCTCTCTTTGTAGCTAGGGCAAGGAAGAGACAACAAGAACTCGAGCGTTCTCCGTCTAAGCTCACAAAGGCTAGGAGGTTGTGTTACTTAACACGAGAGATAGGCAGAGCCCCGAGTTACCATTTCCTCAAGAGAGGTGTGGGGCACCATGCTTACTGGAGCGTCCAAGTATAAATAAACTGAACACGGATGTCAGTTGAATCGAGTAGACTAATAGCAGGTGATCCCTCATATTGGTTATAGGAGGCTGCTGTGATTTATTTGTTTGCATCATAATTCAAGTATCAGAATACTTTTATTATGCATTTTGGCATTAAATAATTTGTAGGCTAAGTGAAAAACTAGATTACAAGACAATTTGAAATGGTTGTAAAATTTAAATACTGCACGGTGTTAATCACTGAAAAAATCTTGAACTTTCTGTTTCTTATTTCATAACTCATTGCCAAGATGGGAAAGTTCAAGATTCCAATGCCCGTTCAAAACTCTGTGAAGAAAATGTCTCAGGAAGTTCTCTGGGACACGTGAGGAATGGCAAAGCAGCTGGCACAGTCTCGGATGGCCCCGAAGATCACGCTGCTAGAAAAACAATTAATGCCGTTTGTTCCTCAGAACTTCCTAGAGAGAACTACAGAAATGCAATGGATCCTACAGCCGGGGATTTTAAGGAAGGTTCCAGCGTACCCTTAGTGAGTTGTCATGGAGAACTGAAGTCTTTCCCCTCTACATGGCATCCTGAGAACAGTGAAAACCATGAGTCTCCCTTTAGGAAGCTTTACGAGTCCATGAAAGAAGAGTTTGATGTGAAATCAGAAAAAGGAAATGTTCTACAGAGCGGTAAAAAATTGGGGTCACCAAGTCATCGTGCATCAGAAAACGAATGTTCTGGTGGGTTACAAGACGGGACACAAGTCCTGGTCTCAGTGAAATCCAGACCCAGGTCGGGTCGATTCACCCCAGTGAAGGCCGACCCTGCTTTGGGAGAACAAGGAACTAGCCAGACTGAGGGCAGGAGAAAGGATGAGGAGGTTCTTCAGACTCCCAAGGAGACCATGGGTCCCAGCATCCCTCCTAAGGAGATGACAAGAACCAGGACCATGGTCCAACATTCCCCACACAATGCCTCACGAAAACGTCAGAACGAAGACATGCGTGTTCCCAGCGGAAGTGAGTCCATGAATCTGGATCAAAGGGAAGGCTTTGGGACAGATAACAAAACATTTCCTCCTCGGAAGTTCTTAACCAGGAATCAGACACCCACTAGAGTCGAAAATGATGATAATTTTGGAGCTACACCAGAAAAATGCTTCTCCAAAAAGAGGGGGAGTGTTCCTACCAGTGTGGACATTCTTACCACAGAACTGGAAACTCAGAATCACACTGTTTTAGCTCCATTGTCCGTTCAAGTTGAAAGGAAGATTCAAAGCATTTCCGTGCACCAGCCTGAGAAAGTGGGCACCACAGCCGGGCACTCGAGCTCTGGGTTCCCTGGTCGTAGTTCAGTTGATAGCAACAACTTTGGTGACTCCATTAGTAAGTTTACTTAACTGTGCATTTATTTTCCCCCGCAGGGCTCACACATATCTAGAAAGACTTCCAGATATGAAGTCATGAGACCTTCCTTCCCTCAACAGTGATGGCCCTGGTGTAGACAGTCTGTGAGGCACGGTGGTGTGCTTATGACACAGCCATGTGCGCCGTCTGCTCTGATAGACCCATCCTCCTGTCCCGGAGACTCGTAACCAGGGGCTCCAGAGGAAGCGCAGGTGGTCAGGGAGGTTCCCCTGGGAGCCGGGGATTTTGAGGGGCTCCAAAACCATGGTGGAGCCTCCTGTTACCCCTATGAGAAAATAGGAGGGAAGATACGCCCAGTAAGCATAATGGCTTTTCACACAAGTTTTTATTCTGACCCATAAGCCCCTGTAGCCCATGAGTTTGCTCCCATAAATGAAGTCCAGGGAAATCAATCCCTTGGAAATGTTTAAACATTAGAGGGCGTCTCTCAGGGATTTTTACTCTTCTCAGGGCCTCCTACTAGCAGTTTTTTTGTTTTGTTTTCTTTATAAAACACTGGACTAACCCAGGGGTTTATGCATCAGGTGCTGTTGTAGGTGTTTTTCAGACATTCACACTTTTACTAACCCTTTGAGCAGGCAGTGGGAGTCCCCAGGGGACAAGCATTCCCGTGATTTCCCTCTTGCAAATAGGGAAGCTGATGGCCTCACGTGACACAGCGAGGGGCAGAGTGGTGACCTCTGGAGGAGGCGTGGCACCTCCCGGGCATCCGCCCGCAGTTCTTGGGGATCTGCAGATGTTCTAAAGCAGCAGGCTTTCTGTCCGGGCTCTGATCTGCAGAGGGGCCCTTGGGCAAGGTGCGCAGCTCTCTGAAATGAGACCCGCACGCATCCATCACAGTGTCCCTATGAGTCTCCGAAAGGGGCACCACTTAGACGAGGGATTTCTGTGGCGTGCTGGTTCACAAGGATGTGAGGTGGGGTTGGGACTCATGAATTGCCGATTCGAACTACCTGGAGAAGTTGTCAAGGTCATGACTTCTCACTAGGTTGGTCTGGATGAGGCCCGAGTTCATACGTGGCTTTTGAAAAGGCCCTCCTGGGTCACTGCGGAGACTTCCATCTCCGTCATTGCCCTGCTCCCATGTGGAAGCCACCGGTCCAGACCAATCCCTTTATCAAGCTCTGTCCACACAGGATTTTTCACCCTTTTGTAGAAAGAAAATCTTTGTCCTGTCCAGTTGGGACTTGACATTGTTTTGTTGGTTTGTCCCTGGATCTCTCCTGAGCCCTTGAAGCAGCTCCAGCGCCCTCAGCATGACAAAGGGATGAAATGCCATGGTGTTAGCTTTAAGTGGACTGTACCAGTGGTTTATCTTTAACAGTCTTCGCAAGTGTAACGAGTCTATATAAGCGTACGTCTTTCATTCTCTCTCCACATTTGTATTCCTTATTTTAGATAAGATTGAGGGAACACCCCTAAAAAGAAGGCGGGTCTCCTTTGGCGGTTGTCTGAAGCCGGAGTTATTTGATGAGAACTTACCTCCTAATACACCTCTTAAGAGAGGAGAAACACCGAGAAGTTCTCTCGCCAGCCACACTCCACCTGTCCTGAAGAAAATCATCAAGGTATGTTGGGCAGCCCGTATCATCATGCTCTTTCAAACTCCCCACACCAGCACAATTACTATGAAGACCTTTTTCTTTCTAATTAAATAGTAAAAATTAAAAAATCTAAAGGAGAGCTCCTTCACTGGGCTTCAAAGCATGATTCTAAGGGGCTGAGTACAGGCGAGTCCTCAGGGCTGCCTTCTACAGGGCCGCCCTGCCAGCCAGACTCACAGGTGATCGCTGCGGGGTTCAGTAAAGACTAGCAATTAAAGGGACACCTGGGTGGCTCCATCGGTTAAGCGTCTGACTCCTGATTTCGGCTCAGGTTACCATCTCAGGGTCGTGAGATCGAGCCCGGAGTCCAGCTCCGTGCTCAACTGGGGCATCTGCTGGAGATTCTCCCTCTCCCTCTGCCCCTCCACCCACTTGTGTGCTCTCTGGCTCTGTCATTCTCAAAATAAACAAAATCTTTAAAAAGACACAGAAGCAATTACAAAGAATCTGGAGACATCATGACACATAACCATAAGGCATTTTTTTTTCTTTTAGAATTATAAGGTGAAAAGGAAAATCTTGAGTGGCAACACACCTATGATTTTGACCATCAGCTATTTAGAACTTTTAATCACCTACCCTAGGCTGTGTTGTCCTCCTGATCTGAGGTCTGTAGAAAGATAGGGCCTCACGGCTCATCCTCGTCAGAGGGCCTGGGCAGTCTTTAATTTCTTTTCAAGCCTAAAGGAGTGTAAGGTATGCCTGGCTCCTTTTCCATTTTATATGGGCTCCCAGAAATGAGCAGCCCCCCTTCTGTGTAGACCGAAGCTGGATTAGACACCTACAGATGGTGTTTTTCTCCAATTCAGATCAGAGCACGCTCACTTGTCACTCCTTGGGAGGTTCCTTCTGCCTTTCTACCCAAAATACCCCAATTAACACTTGTTCACTGTTTTTTTCCCCATCCTTTTTATTTCTTAAATGAGGGGGACAGACTCCTATTTCTACCTGATACTTGACAGACAGTGGTTGAAATGTTTGGTGCTTCAAGATTTAAACAGCTAAACTCCTTAATGGGGGGACACTTGGGTGGCTCAGTTGGTTAAGCATCTGCCTTCGGTTCAGGTCATGATCCCAAGGTCCTGGGATTGAGCCCCTTATCAGGCTTCCTGCTCAGCAGGGAGCCTGCTTCTCCCTCTCCCTCTGCTGCTCCCCCTGCTTGTGTGCTCTCTCTCTCTGGCAAGTAAATAAATAAAATCTCTGAAAAAACAATTCTTAATTGGGTAGGGTTTTCACATTCACTACAGAGATGTTATATTTGTGGTAAGGTTTCTTATGAACATTCAAATCTCATCAGGAATACCCTCAACCATCAAGAAAAGAAGATTCTTCAGAAATCTGTTTGGAAGTGACTGCACAAGACCAGTGTAAAGGATCTCCAGCTCAGAATCCGACGCAGACTTCTCCAGTTGCAAATGACGCCCGCCGCAGGTCATGCAAGGTGTCCTCGGTCTCCAGTGGCAGCAAATCTCATCACACAGACATTCCCAAGAGGGGAGGGAGGAAGAGCGGTACCTTGCCTTCAAAGAGAACTTCCATCGATCGAAGCCAACATGAGATCTTGCAGAGGATTTATTCCAAAAGAAGGAGTGGTGCTTCTGAAGCCAATTTAATCGGTGAGTGTTGTGTTGGCAGATAATGTCGTCAGGTTCATTTTCTCACGAATACGAGTTTGGAAACATTTCAACACTTTCTCCTTCTGACAGTGGCAAAATCGTGGGCAGATGTCGTAAAACTCGGAGCCAAACAAACACAAGCTAGAGTGGTTAAACATGGCCCCCAAAGGCAGCTGAGCAAAAGGCAGAGGAGAATGAATACTCCAAAGGTAGGAGTTGCCCTTTGAGCCCATTCTCTTCTGTATGATTCCGTGGACTGTGCATTTATGCTTTGACATTTTGTTCATCTTGTTATATTTTTTTCCAGAAGGCTGTTAGCGATGTTCACAATCAATTTAGCACAGGCCATGCCAATTCTCCTTGTACCATAATAATAGGGAAAGCTCACATTGAGAAAGTAAACGTGCCCGCTCGGCCCTACAGAATGCTCAACAGCTTTGTATTCAACAAAAAAATGGACTTTAATGAAGATCTTTCAGGTAAAAACCTAGCTTGGGTCTCATAAACGATAGCCCTCTGATCCTCCTTCGTGGGAGGATGTGGATGGGGGTCCTATAGTTGTATCTACTGTGAATGAGTTTTGGGAGGATAAACATTTTAGTCGACTTCCTGGGGTGGTGATGGTTCAAGGAAGAGAAGGCTGGATTGGAGACCAAGAACAGGTCCCCGATAATAAGGGGGATCATGAGTCCTGCACGAAGCAGGTAGGAATGGAAAATGTACAATTTTACCTTGGATTGCAGTACCGGTATGGAGAACTGGAAGCTTCTTTATGCTGAAGGGAGCAGGCTTGCCCTTAAAGTTGCCCTTTCCCTGCATCACTACTCATTGATGGCTGCAAAGTTAGAGCCATTGGTTTGAGCAATATTTCGCTGCTTCATGCTTTTCTTTGCTTGCATGAAACTTAACTGTGTCTTAAAACAAAGGCCTGTAAGAAGGTTTCCCTCAAGCATCAGTAGCTGAGCCAGTGTTTCCCTGCTCGGCAAAAGTGGGGTGTGACTTCCTTGTGGTTGCTCTAGGTTAGAACCAAGGCAAGAGCCCAGGGTTGGGATTTCATGCCACGCAGTTTGACCACTGGTTTCTGCCTCGAGCATTTCTGGAGGGAGCTGAGACTTGCTTCCATCTCCCATTAGATGGATTCTTGTTCTTATTTCCTGGCATATTTTAAGATGCAATAGTTGTACTGCTCTGTAGAACCCAAATAAGGTACCCTGTGATTACAGTCATAGTTGGATCAATACATTCAGCTTTTTAAAAAAACAAACCACAAAAATGCAGAACCTTTGTAGCCAGTTTTGATAGCATGCTCAATGAGAAAAAAGTTTCGGGTATATGCCACCTGATAGGCAGACATATGCACATACGTGTATCCTTGTAAATTACGTATGAGTGTAACTAACAGCGATGTTATGAAGCATTAAAAACCAATTCTCAAAAATATTTTTAAGCTAAAATTAATAGAAATTTATATACTCAGTACCCAGGACAGTGGAAGTCAAACGACTTCCACCCCTTGGTGTGAGTAACTTTCATGACAAAACATCAATCTGTGCGGAAAACTGGATCCTGGGTATTTTAAGGAAGGCCTGAACACGGGCAGAGGGATGAGATTTTTAAGTGAACTGGCTGATTTGAGGGCCCTCAGAACAGGCTTTGCAAACAGATGCCAGACAGCATTTTGATCCATTGATGGTGGGATGAGAAAAGAGGAAATGTGAGTGAGTGTTTCAGAAAGATAAATCTTCCATCTAAAGAACTGTATGCTTCTTTTCTTCTATTGTGTCAATATTACTTTTTGGTGTTAAAATGAAAGCATAGTGATATTATCACTTGAAAATACTATTAATGGGCAGCCCAGTGGATGTCGTTTTTTAAAAATTGGGCACGTTTTATTTGTACATAAAACCCAGGTCTACATAAGTTAGGATTTTTCAAGGAAGCATGAGGTCACTGGGTTTCCGGACGTCTGGAGGGGAGGCACGGGGGCGCCAGTCTCTCTCCCGGCCAGAGTTCAGGATCAGGGCAATGGTCCAAGACAGATGTCAACTGCCTTCATTAGATTTTCTCACCAAGAGGAAAGGCAAAGAAGAGATACAATTCTAGCTTCTCATTGCTCTTCAACAAAATGAGTTCATTATTAATACATGACCCTGTCTCCCAAGAATTCTGGGGAGGGATTCCTTGTTCTCTCCCTGCCACTTCCTCTGGTGTATCTGAGGACTGGCATGCCTGTTGGCACATAGGAGCAATATGCTAATTGCTTTTCCAATATTCTCACATCACAGGGTTAACTGAAATGTTCAAGACTCCGGCGAAAGTGAAGCCACAAATAATGAGCCCATGTCCCAACGCTTTTTCAAATTCAGAGGATTTCCTCGGAAAAAAGTTTCAAGTACCTAATTCAGGAGAAAAACCTCTGCTGTGCACTTCAGAAACTTATGGTTGGTTTACTGTTTTGTTTTTTTCCTGCACTCTGATGTTTTATTCAGTAGTTATTGTAATTGGTATTATTATTTTTTAAACAGATGCTGTATTATTTCTCTACAATAGATTCTCCCGAAAAAATACCATTTGCAGCTTCTCTGTTCTGTCATGTTTAGAGGAAATTCCTTTTAGCAGTTGAACTAACATTGGTATTTAGCAAGTGGCATAAAAAGGAATAATTGTAATAATAACATTTTTAATAATTGTAATTAATAATTGTATTAATAATTTTAATACAGTAGTTTAATAATTGCAAACTACCTGTGTACACGTCTGCCTTTTTCATTTAAAGAGGTTGACCAGCAGAGAGGTGGCATGATCTCTTATCATAGTTAGGTAAATTTCGCAAACTCAAAATAACTGTAAATAACCAAAGAGAAAGATAATGTGCGCACTGTGCGATTGTTGCTGCTGACGTTCTGGATGGCCTGGGTCGCGGCATGAGCCCTAGATGGGAGAAATGAGTCTGTCTTGCTCTCTCACTGAGTACTGGTTACCCACTGCCTGTCCTAGAGGGAACAGTTTTCACTCACAGTGTCTCCTCTGCTGAACGGCACATGTTTCCTGTGCGGTATGGACCCCACGCATACCGAGCATAAGCCATGCTATGGTGTGGATGGTTCAACAGCAGAAATAGCTGTTTGCTTCTTGTGCTTGAAGAAAATGTCCATGTTCAGGTGCCTGAGACACAGTGCGGCGGCCTTCAGGAGACCGTTCTTAAGGAATTTTTTTTTCGTTTATCTGATCCCTGTAGATCAGAACCACCACCTCAGTATGACCCCACCGTCTGTCACCAGATAACATTATTCCTAAGTATGCGTGGTTCATACTTAAGAAAGATGTATGGCCACGTAAGTAGCCAGCTTCATAAGCTTAGCTGGCTGGTTAGGGGGCTGAATTATTGACTCTTTCGCAGTATTTCATAAAGGTAAAATACCAAATTGGCACAACACAGGGAAGAGAATCTATCTCTCATGTGTGTTTTTGTGTCCTGTAGGAGAGAATGTATTCCCCATGACTCAGAATGCTCCACAAGAGCCATCCGATCAAAGTCCTGCCAGCCCTGCCCTCAGACGACCGGCTATTAGAGTAAACACAAACATCGAGAAAACTCGAGGATCGGAAGCAGAGCCTCTGAAGACGGCATTAAGTGCAGACAGGTTCCGAAGGTCCTCAGAGCTCAGAAATACACAGATGCCAGGTCCAGGGCACAGGGACGAAGAAGCAAACACAGACCCTGCTGAGAACACTTCAGGGCGACATCTGAGGAAAACTCCACAGCGAGGACAGAAACCTGAGGGAGCGACGGAGGAACAGGAGAGCTGTTTTGAAGCATGTGAGAAACCTATCAAATCAGAAGACAGTTCTGAAAACATGGTAGCTGTGAGGAGATCGAGAAGATATTCGGAGCAAAAATGGGAAACAATAGCAGACCTGACCACCCTCAAGAGAGAGCAGGACACAGAACCCAAGGAAGACCTAGGAGGCATCCAAGGTCTCCCCCAGGCCCCCACTCAAGCCCAGGAACCAATGGATGTGGGAAACAAAACTGCAGAAAAGTGCCAGAAATCTTTAAAGCCAGAACTAGTTGGCATGCCAACCAGGATGAAAATACAACTCAAGACCTCTCCCCAAAAAGTGGACCTAGATGAAGAGCCTTCAACTCTCAGGAAGTCCATCCGAATGTCGGGGGGAAGCATCCCCTCACACGGAGAACCGGGAGATGGTGATGAAGACATCAAATTGTTGAACAGAACTCCAAAGCAGACACTGGACTCTGCAGAAAATGTAACTGGAAGCAAGAGGTGGTCAAGAATGCCCAAGAGAAATGCCCAATCCTTAGAAGACCTGGCTGGCCTCAGAGAGCCCTTCCAAACACCAAACCACACAGATAAAACAAGGACTGATGGCAAAACCACCAAAGTACCCTGCAAATCTCCATTAGTGGAACCAGTCAACACACCAACAAGTAGAAAAAGGCAGCTTGAGACCCCTCTCCAGAAAGTGGACATAGAGGAAGAGCCCTCAGCTCTCAGGAAGCCCACACAAACACCAAGGAAAACCATGCTCTCATACAGAGAACCAGGCGATGGTGATGAAGACATCAAATTGTTCAAGGAAACTCCAAAGCAGACACTGGACTCTGCAGAAAATGTAACTGGAAGCAAGAGGTGGTCAAGAACATCTAAGAAAAATGTCCCGTCCTTAGAAGACCTGGCTGGCCTCAGAAAGCTCTTCCAAACACCAAACCACACAGATAAACCGATGGCTGATGACAAAATCACCATACTCCCTTGCAAATCTCCACTAGCGGAACCAGTCAACACACCAAGTAAAAGGAGGCAGCTCAAGACCCCTCTCCAGAAAGTGGACCTAGAGAAAGATCTCAGGAAGCCCACTCAAACTCCAGGGGAAAGCACATACTCACACAGAGAACCAGGAGGTGGTGATGAAGATATCAGATTGTTCAAAGAAACCCCAAAGCAGAAACTGAACCCTGCAGAAAATGTAACTGGAAGCAAGAGGCAGTCAAGAACACCCAAGAGAAATGCCCAGTCCTTAGAAGACCTGGCTGGCCTCAGAGAGCTCTTCCAAACACCAAATCACACAGATAAACCAAGGA